ATTCCTCTCCCGTGTTGCAAGTGCCAAACGTCTGGTGATTGTGCCGGGACCTGTACATGCAGCATGGTAGGCTGTTGTTGAATGAATGAATGAATGGTTTATTCTCATTAAGATCACGCAATAGTGACATAGACAAAAATACAAATGTACATATTTGTTTCATAGGAGCATACGTAGTCCGGTTTTCACATAGTTGCTTATTTTTAACAAGAGTGCTTTATGCGTACAAGACATGAGGGATATAAATTTATCTAATGATGGATATTTACAATAATAGTTTGGTAGGAATGAATTTCTTACATTACCTAAACATGGACAATATAACATGAAGTGGAGTTCATCTCCTATTGTGTTCTTACAGTGTACATAATCTTTCTTCTTTAATAATATTATACCATCTACCTGTTTCTATTGAGAGTTTATGGTTACGAGTTCAACTAGTTGTTCAAGAAGTGTATCGGCCTCCGAATTCCTTAGCATTTTACAACTTGTGTGTGCAATTAAAACCACGTGACATTGGGAAAACCCGCTGAGAATCTCTACTTCCGGCCTCCATATAGCTGCGTGTTGCGTATTCGGAGACTTTTTGAGCGTAAGCAAATTCATGCACTACGCACTGCGTATCACGCATCACGTTTTACGCATGCATGGAAGCCGCTATACTATTTTAGTATAAAGTGTTGTATACGCATTACGCCCTACGCACTACCCATTACGCATCACACACTGCGCGCACATGGAAACCCGGCTTTAGTGTGTATGGTTTTACGCCTTTTAAAGCAATATTACATCAGTCTCATGGCGGAGACTGGAAATTGCCTTCACCACACTCATGTGTGAAAAGGAATCCGTACTTAAGTAGTAGTAGTTTTGTCTTGTCTCACCAGAAGCACCCTCCACACACACAATTGACATTCAGAAAGTAAACGTACTCCCCTTCTGTACCACAAACAGTTGTTCATTGATCACTATGAAAAAGAGATGATTCCAGTCGCGTACTTGGTTGGCTCTTCATCGATACACCCCATGCTGTCCATGAACATGTAAACAAGTTAACTGACCATCTGACCACATGTGTTTGGTCACCCACGGATGAAATACTAAATGCATGGAAGAACATAATCGAGGAATAGTAAGTCCAGTTTGATGCTGAAGAGCTAAAACTAAATGAACCCAAAAATGCAACTTGGAAGCCGCTGTGGCTGAGTGGGTTAGATGGCAGACTTTGTGTGCCGGCGATTAGGTGTCTGACTTCAGACACGGAGCAGAACACATACAGGCACGGCTTCAACGGCTGAAACTATGAATACACAATGTCATTTAGAAAGCGGTCAGTTGAAACACGACTTATATTTCGGATTACACCTTCTCAGTAGAGTGTGGGTTCGACTCAACCCAACAAAAGTAGTAGAATCGATTCTTTTCTGAGAACCTGTACCCCCAGATATAACATATGTTGAATTTATCGACCTTCTAAATGACATTGTACATTCAAACCGCAAATGGCCATTCAATGGTAGTGTTGTTGATACGGGCAGCACAGCAGTATCTTGGGCCTTTAGTTTGCAGTGTTTCACAGACTATTTTCAGGAATGTAAAGTCTCCACGTTCAAAGGAGACATGGAGGCAAGATCTGTGGAGGCAGAGATGAAGGTCGCAGGGTGGACCTGGGGACAGGTGCAGCAATATGCCCAGGATATACAGCATTGGAAAACTCTAGTAACAGCCTTATGTGCTAAGAGCACGAAGAAGATTAAGTAAGTAACTAAAGTAAGGTCTTCCGTTGATCAAGGAACTCACACGTGCTATTGAACAATTAAAACTCACAAGAATGACAGAGTACATTCATATTTTATTGAAGCAGTTGTTTAAATCAAGGTACATAATAGAAACATGTTTGTAGCATTGATATTTCGTTAAACAAACTACTATTTTAATGTTTTCCTTGATACATTATCTATGAATCCGAAACAAAACAACTTGTAGGATTCAACACAAAGTATGACTGAAATTCGTAGTTTCCAATAGACAGAAATATGTCATCAAATCTCGGTTAAGACTGATTTTCTTAGGATGTTCATGCGCATGAGATACTTTTACACAGTCAGAGATATGAGTTAATTGGAAATGAAAAAGTCATCAATTATACATTGCATTTGTCTTACTCCTTCTACTGACAACAAACTCAAACATTATTTTCAGTACTGAGCGTATTGTAAAAAGAGTTATGAACAATTATAATACTTCTTCTTTTGTTCCATAGACGAACGCCCATAAAAGCCACCAGATATTGTTGCAATAATTCTAACACTGTACAATGGAAACAAATATATCAAATGTTATGTTACGTGAATTATCATAGTTTTTATTTCATTAGTTCTCAATTCCCAACGCCTAGAGAATGTATGAGATACAAATATCAGGTGGCATTGTGAGTAGAATATCAGCAAGTTCCCTTACAAACAACTCGTGGTTAATAGGTTTCAAATGTAACTTTCCTCACATCAATTAAAACAGGCGTAGTTAAACTAGAATTACATGCTTATATATAAAAAGATATGGCGTGATTCTTCACTGGTGCATTCCTGAAAATAACCAACCGATGGTGGTCCTTTGTACGCTGTTGGTCAGTATTCGCAGGTTCAAGAAAAGCGAGTGAGTGATTTCGGAGTTCGACCGCTTTTCGCAATATCACGACGAGGGACAACCAAAATGGGCTTACCACAGTCTTAATGTAGGGAGCGTGTTATCGTAAATGAAAAACATGTGTTAAGCATTAAATATTTATAAAATTCAATGTTTATAATTTACGTCGATCTGTAGCGTTAACTTTTTCAACGTTTCGCTAAGATTTTTTGAATATAAAAAGCATTTTCAACTAAAATAGATCCCGCAATATTACGTCCATTTATAGGAACGTATGACTGGCCAAATCATTTACTCACTACGCCATCACAGCATGATGAAACACCACTTGAAACGTAACGATCGCCAATGACCGTTAATATATTTATTTGCCTTTACGGAAGTCAGGAGAACATTTCAGATTTCCTTAAAAGAAATCCCCCGTAGAGAGTCATCTTCCCGGAAAATACACACACGTTAAACTGAGATTTAACAATATTCAATCAGATACTCGGGGTATATTTGACCTTCGCTGAAAATCACGTAGATTCTCGGGTCTGTTTCCTTATCACATGCTGAGTCAGCGAGTTTAGTTTTGTTGCTGACATCCAACACCGGGGGGCGTTTTAACTGTGGGTTCCCTTGCCTCGACTTACCCACCAGAACTTTAGCCAAGAACATGAACCTGTGACGCCGTGCGTCTTCTTTAGCATAGACATCCGAGTACTTGGCATCCACAGCAAAGTACGCTCCTTGGCCAAAGAGGGCGCCCACTCTACTTCCGGCTAACCGGAAGTCGATGTTTTGGTGCGGGATGAGATCAGCCGAGTCTGGTGTGGTTCCGTGAAAGAGTTGCTTTTCGTTGGCAAGACCCCGACCGTATTCACGTTCCATGTTGTCCTTTGCGCTGAAATCAACAAAGGTCGTAAAGTCTCCTATTTAGGAGCACGTGTGTGATGAGAACAAGGTGTTAACCATCCATCGATACCACGTCTACAAGAAAGCATTCTGACGTACATATGTCATTGCGCAAGTAGTTTTTTTACAAATGGATGAATCGTGTGCATTTACGCACAGTCCTCACGTTGTAACATGCATCTATACACATGGGTAGGCGTATGTCAGGCACCATGCACGCATGGAGATCCCGGTTAGAATTGATCTTCAGTAACCAATGCTTGTCATAAGAGGCGACTAACGGGATCGGGTTTTCAGGCTCTCTGACTTGGTTCACACATGTTATCGTATCCAAATTGCGTAGACTGATGTTCATGCTGTTGATCACTAGAATATCTGGTCCACACTGGATTATTTACAGACCGCCGCTATACAGTTAGAATTTGTGCGGCGTAAAACTAAACTCGCTCACTCAGGTATCGTGCAGGGACATATTAGTTTAAATAAACTTTCTGTATATTCTAATTGACATAAACATAAACAACTTGCGTCCTGGCGTAAAACTGTATGAATTCACATTTTTAACATATGAAGAATGAAGTATCATTTACATATTGTCATCAGACATAAAGTCGGCATTCTGTGTGGAGGGGCGGTACGAGGGGTGTCCCATACACTTAAGGTCTGACCATGAACGGATCTTCCAGACACAACAAACCTGCCTGTGTGTATAGAACAGTACTAAAGCATGAAGACGTGTAACATGTAACATGAAAAGCATGGACTGCACAAACTACAACTGCTCAAGTAGCAGTCAGCTTTGCACAGGACTGTAGCTTTATGATCCTCCCACATCCAGATCTTGCCACTCTGATTTCCTCCTCTTTCCACGGCCCAAATCTGAGCTCCGAGGCAGCAAATTTGAGACGAATGAGCACGTTATTACTACCGTGGGGGACTTTGTAGGGTTTTCTGTGTTTTTTGGATGGGTTACAAATGTTGGAGAAACGTTTGATCAAAAGTTATAGAAGTCAAGGGTAACTTTGTTGACAAACAGGTAGAAAGAGTTTCATACATAACGTATTTTTCATGGAAAGTTCCGGGACACCCCTCGCAAGACCTTAGATGTTATGGATCTGAGTTATGTTGATCAGCATCCTGTAGTATTATTGAGACTGTGCACATGAAAGCCTGCAAGTCTTTTCTCAAAGTGAATACGTATACAAATAACAAAATGGATCTGGGAGAGTATGGAATAGTCTCCCTGCTGTACCACTTTACCTCCAGAACAGTCAAGGTCTCGTGCGAACTTATTCAACTGTAACAGTTCCCCGCCAAGCATACAATATGATTACAACTTTTGATGATAGTCCCAGATACACATCGTATATACTTACACAGTATACTGTTCCCACAATGCGACATTCTGGATACGGTAGATGGACACGATGCTCTTATTGGACAGCGTTTCTTCCACCTTTGATTCAACATGTCTGTATTCAAAGGCCTTCAGGGGGTTGGACTCACTCAGCTCCACCTTCATGAACCCATCCTGTCCCATGGCTTCCCAGTGTGCTGGTAGACGCTTTGATTGGCTCACTGACGAGGGCAAGGGTCGCTTTGAAATTCTGAAAAGTCACATTTACATTATCAATCATATTTTTACTTACATATAACTGATGCGGTAGTGTAGGTATAGGTACAACAGCCTCTTATCATAATAACGAATTACGTGGTATATGTACCATTTTACATTTTAATTTGAAAAAGGAACTCATTTTCGGTATGACATTGAACTGCAAATTGTTCACAGCTTGAGCATTCTGCAGAACAATTGTAAGTGATTTCTAACGATTTAACCATACTAAGAGTGAGTGAGTATGGTTTAACGCCGCTTTTAGCAATATTCCAGCAATATTACGGCGGGGGACACCAGAAATGGGCTTCACACATTGTACCCATGTGGGGAATCGAACCCGGGTTTCCGGCGTGATGAATGAACGCATTAACCATTAGGCTACCCCGAAGCCCCAACTATACTTAGTAAGGAACAGAACACTGATAACTACACATATACCTAATGGCAAATGGTTAGGGTTTTTTAAATATGAAAATGAAATGGCATCAGAAAGGTCACTGATTTGTCAATATGGCTGCCGCGGATTATCTGTTTCTTACTGTCAGTGATAGAGTGCTGTTGCTGCATCGTTTCTGTTAAAGGTTTTGGAACTTTGTCTGATCTATGGGATCTGTCCTACCTCTCCAACATTACTCGCACTTCCTTGTTCTTCACGAAATCTAGAGGTGTCTTCCCGGCTTTGTTCGTCAATCTGATGTCCCCCTCCTCGTTCTACAAGATGACATCGGATTTCCAGGGCCAAATCCGCGTCTTTTGGACCTTCCTGTAGACAGTGCAGACAGTTTTATCGAAAAAGTTCAACACAGACTAACATATTTCTATAGATAGTGACGACAGCTCACAAATAGATGTTTGACGCAATTTATCTCGTCCTATAAACACGAAAGACTCACAGCTCCGGGCAGCGTGCTGTCCATGTGGGTGGCGTGTAGAGGAGAATTTCCTTCCTGGTCTTGGACGTTGATCTCCGCCCCTACAGATCAGTAAATGTTGTACAGTTTTGTATATCATACTGCATGTAAGCCCTACTTTATATAGTCTAGGAGCAGTTGGACATTCTGTAATTCACAGACTTGTAAATCATTCTGCATACAAACAATACTCATCATATTCCAGGGCATATGGACATTCTGCAATTTACAGACTTGTATGTCTTTCTGCATAAAAGCTATACTCTTCATATTCCAGGTCATATGGACATTTTGCAATTTACAGACTCGTATATCATGCTGCATGTGAGCTATACTCATAATGTTCCAGGGGCAATTTACAGACGTGTATAGCATACTGCCTGCATGTGGTTCTTACCAGATTCCATGAACAGCTTGGCATTCTGCACATTACAGACTTGTATAACACACTGTTTGTTCACATGTAAGCTTCACTCACCAGATTCAAGGAGCAGTTGCACAATCTGAAGATTACATCTTTGTACAGCCATATGAAGAGCTGTCTTGCCGTTGTCGTCCCGATCATTGACATTGCAGCCAGCCTACGGATGATGTTACAAAATCAACACAGCGGGTCATCTTTTAGAATTTATAGAACTTGCGAATAAATGCCGTATCGTTAGAAACAGACAGGTATCTCTCATTGCCGCAGAGGTTTGGAAAAACGTAGAAGTAGATTTATCTTTTAAGCCTTTTTATTCACCTTACCTTCACCAGGACACCTGCCAGGGCCACAAAACTCCGGAATGCTGCTATGTGTATCGGGGTGAGGGCGTTGTTCATGGGGACGTTGACGATCTTCGGATCTCTCTTTATCAGTGCTTGTGGAAATCTGTTAAATTAAGGAGCTGTATCAATCAGTAATTGGACTTAGTGGAATTTCTTTGCAAGGATTCCGGGTTATGTAGATCGTTTATCAGTTCAACGTGTTATGAGAGGTTTCTTTTCATAATTTGTAATTTTTAATATCACATTGATTAAGTGATAGTTAATATGGGTCACACTGTTTTGAGTGTGGGTTTTGGATCGCATCTTGCATCATATATGTTCAATGGCAAAAGTATTTGTAGCGGCAAGCCTTTTTGATAGCGCTTCAGAGTTGCCTCCCTTGGTTGGCTTTATTTTGTTACAGGATCTTGTCACATCGTGTGTTCGAGAAACTGCCGTAACGTTCTGCGAGAATAATGATGGAGCCTAGTATAGCTTTGCTAGAATGCCCGAGATCCGTGTAAGAGCTATATAAAGGCTGGTTGTTGAGTTGTGCGACGGGACATTACACACCACTGGGAAGATTTATACACATCTGTCTGCCATCATCAAGTTGTTCAAGGTGCTTGTCTATTCAACTGATGTCGTTGCAAACACCCTTCCATACGTGTATTTGTTCTCATTGTGAATGTCAAGACTCTTGTGTGTTAACATTTTATATTTGTGACCTAATAGTTTAGATTTGTGACTCAATTGCATTGTACTAGATATCTGTAGTGTCATTCATTGTAGCTTGCTCATTGTTTGTTCAATACATTATTGAATAACTTAGACTTGTCTGAGTTCTATTTTGCTGGTTCAAAGAGGACTCTTAAACCTTTTGTCACGGCAAAGTATTAACCGTAACATACATACTCTTTAACAACAGAAAACATGACAGTTATTTCCAAAGATAAAGATCTGTTGTGGCGGTTTACCCAGTTAGGTTCCCAAATCATTTCAAAACAAGTTCCAATGATTAAATTATCTATCGTACGGTACCAGTAAAACAGGCTCTGCTAATATATAAAGGCACAATTGTCAATCTGTCAAATGATCTATCGACTGACAATACACAAACTCGCTTTGGCATCATTTTCAACGATTCAGTGATCTGTCAATGGAGAAAACTTCAGTTGGTTAACTTACTCTGTTGCCCCAGAGAGCAACACACATGCTTCATGGAAAGGGTTGCTGCCTTTAGAATTGGCGAGTCTCAGATTCAGCTGGGCACACTCCAGGAAGGGATCAAGAAGATGCTGGTTATGGGTTCTGAGTGCATCATGAAGGGGCGTATCTCCCTCTTCATCCTAAAGAATAGATACAATTATATTAACCCACTTTATGTATTGGCTAAAACTCACTGCCTTAACTATTACAAAGCTGCGCCTACCTGTGTGTTGGGATCACACTTGTACTGTATGAGTGCCTTCAGACACCAGGTGCTGGGGTCCTTCTTGGCCACTGCCAGATGTAATGGTGTCAGTCCCTTGTTGTTCTTCGTGTTGCCCCGTGCCTTGGCGTCCAGCAGTATCCCGACCACAATGGGCTGCTCTCTGTTGACATGACCAGCATTGTCTCAATATAAACCTGATATATTTCTTTAGCCACCCGGTCTCTATGTCACATCAACAGGAATGTGGATATTGAGACTTAGACAAACTGAGGACAACCGTCATGAGGGTGTCTCAAGTAAAAAGGTGACAAGTTTAGAGTCACGGGGGTGACATTTTTAAGCGTCACGTGCTACTCATTCTGAGTGAGTGAGGGAGTGATTGAATATGGTTTCACGAAGATATTCCTGCAATGTCAAGGCAGGGAACACCAGAAATAATTGGCGTCACACGTTGTACCCATATACAATGTACCCATTCAACTGGCTCTTCGGCGTAAGGGGCGAATGCATTAACCACTGGGCTACCCCACCGTCCCTCCTTTAGTTGTAAATTCTGACACATTGTGATTTAATCACAAGTTGTATTCTGATAAAAGCAGTGCGTTAACCACTACTCTATCTCCCTACTCACCCTGACACAGCATAGTGCAGAGGTGTGTCTCCTTCATCGTCGGCTTTGTTCAGATCAGCCTTAGCACCGATCAGAAGCTTGACTATGTCAGCATGACCTTTGTAACACCCCGTCTGCAATGCCGTCAGGCCATCCACTGATTCGTTCACCTGATTCATAAATAAATCAAGATCATTTGATCAGTAGGTTCATAACAATAATCACCTACAAATAAGAATAAATTATTTAGATTCAGTACGAATTACGCCAGCCAATGCTTGTAAGGTGTGAATTGTTTTTAATGTGCTCTCAAAAACGTAGAAGTGAGAGAATTATGAACGCAACGTTTAACCCAATTTTGACTCAGTTTACCTGGTAAAGGTGCAATACCTGACAGTATGGCAGTATTTAACTGCATTTAAGCAATGGACACTTGTCACAAATGTAGAGTTTGTAACGCGAATTTGTTGTGGGATGGCAAATAGCCTGTATGGGACACAGGGCTAAACATATTGCACCATCCCTTGGTGGTTCAGTGTTATTCTTAAAATTCTGTGCGTGACCTACCCATGACGCTGCTTTGATCCATGCACAGCTATTACATGTCATCAGAGGACCCTTGTAGAGGACGTGCCAAAAACCAAGAATCATGATTGGGACGAATCAGGAATTCAAACCCACAATCAGCAGATCCTGTCAATGTACGGGCAGTAATTTTGTCTTATGTCGTAAGAGCCTGAATGAACAATGGTAATCTCGTTACGCCGGCACAGGTACCTTGTCACCAATAGACTTGACAATGTTTTTCACTGTTTCCGTGTCGCCGTTGCTGACAGCGATGACGAGGCCTCGGGCTGTTATGGTGCTGCTGGATGATGCGTTGGGCTTGAACAGAGCACTCGCTCCAGGCTTCAGAGGGCCGAACCGAACCTGAGCCACACCTTCGGCTATGTCTGAGAAAGAAGAATGCAGTGAATGAGCTTTGGAAGGACTTTTTGAAAACAAGGAACGTCATACTCATTAAGATTGCAGAGAGTGGGAAAGTTCAAGGTTTGCCATTTTCATTTTCATCCACCACATCAGATGAACCGCTAACTGACCAGCGAACAACTCTCTTTCCAGCGGATCCTACTTTCACACAAACGCAACTGGTTGCCTTTGATCCATGAGCTATCCGATTTCCCAAAATTGCAACAGTTCACCAAAGGAATCTTTAGCAGATGTTCCTATCAGGGTATGAATGGCTTTTGCTCGTTTTCGTACTAGGATTTCATGCTGTTTTTGAAAAACCCGAAATTATTGTAACAATATTAAACAGCTCAAAAATATTGTTTCTTTATTTAAAATAATGGTAAATGCTAGTTGTCAACCACAAAGTTGTTGGTTGTTATTATAACCCGTGATATGTACCCTGATCAAGTAATTTCCTATCCGTAATTCATGATGTTTACTGTTTAAATATTGTATCTTACCTGCTGATTCAGATTTATGAGTACCATCGACATCAGATGTAGAGGAGTCTGAACTGGTGCTTTTATTAGCCCCAAAAGAGATGCCGGAACCTGACAAGGCCACTCCGTCCTGAGGATCACAGCTGACGGGACTGAAGAACCACTTGACTGGCCCAAAGGCCACCCTCAGATCCCCGTCCTTGTCGATCTCAACGACCTGGCCGGTCTTTCCGAGACACTGTGGATGAAGAAGGGTGTAATAAAGTAGAGGGACAGGTTTGTTAGTCCGATCATACCTGAACAGAATTTCACGGTTTCATTATTTATTTTTTATTCTTATATAAATCACGAAACACGTTACAGTAACTCCCGGTGACAGTTTCTAAACTGATTAGTCGAACATTGGATAAATCGAACGTTTGTCATGTCCTTTTCGGCAACGACGACAAGTAGAAAGAAAATACAGTAATGGGTTGTTACTGTTGCATCGGTCTACATACATTTTCCATTTTGTCATTCCATCCGCCATGTCCGTTCTGGAGATCCACGGCAGCGTTGTAGTTGTTGGTAATCTTCACAACGTCCCCGACAGCAAACGTGTGAAGCTGCAATAATCAGATCGACCAAGACATCATCAAAACGTCTTCATCTGAGAATGGATGGTGTTTGAGTGAATGCGTGCTCAAACGTACAGTAAGCTTGTAATGTAAGGTGGAACGTACACTATGTGTACATATTTCTTTGACATTCAAGGTTACAGTCAGTAGACTCTTATGGATGATCAAGTCTTTAAATTATGTTACAGGTTATAATACTTTCTGAGCTCTGAACAAAACCAGAACCGTTTGGTTTTAGATTCAAAAGGACTGAATTGATAGAAACAAACCTGCTTTAAGCCGTTATGTTGAACAGCATATCTCGACTGATAAGACAAGTATGATACTTTAGGGATGACAACCGCTTCATTCGCTATAGATTCTTACACCGTTGTTTAGCAGGAATGAGAGTATCATACCTTTCCTATTATTCATCTATTTCTGAAATGCCCATCAAACAGATCATGCCACGACTCATATTGCCCAGACACTACCTACCCTTGTCAAAGTCGACTTCACTAGACCATACTTCTCAGCATCCGGGTACTGTACATGTGCAACAATGATCTGTTGGTCTGGAGAGGGAATACGGATGACAGTACCAACCTCTGCCAAACACTAGAAATACAAAATCTTATTTTTGGGGGAAGGAAATCGTTGTAGATCATCACATCAAAACACAGAAGACTTAATCAGCATGTCATTGATGGCAGATGCAATTACGACGTCACACGAGCAGTGGGTAGCCCAGTAATTAAAGCGCTCACGCCAAAGACCCGGGTTCGGTTCTCCACATCGGAACTCTGTGAGAAGCCCATTTCCAGTGTCCCCCGCCATGATATTGCTAGAATATTGCTAAAAGCGGCATAAAACCATACTCACTTATTTACGAAGTCACACCGATCATCTGTGACCTCAACGGATGACGAGTAATAACTGAATATATCAATGTTGAAATCAGCATGATGAAGAAGACTGCTTCAATGTACGTACCTGTGACATGCTGTCACGATAACCAGTCAAGTCCGTGTGCGTGCGTTCAAATATATCTGCGTCCACCTCTATTTTCACTTTGTCCCCAACCTTCAGGCGAAATTCAGTGGGATTCACAACATCTGTAACAGCCAAACTACAATTGTGAACACGTTTCGATAATATGTGTCTGTTTCAAAATTGGTTTTATCTTTTGAGACATTTCATGAACTAATAACAACGCTTTTATGAAACTGAAGTAATCAAAATAACGTTATAAGAAACAATTCCATTTCAAATCGACCAACATTTGGGGATCACCCCAGTTCATGTCTTAGATTTGGGATTTTTGCTTGTAATCAATGCTACTGTAAGTTGATAAAAGGGAAACACTCTTTCATTATTCTGTGATTGGCATGATGTTTTAGACCAAATGGGTCCCCACATGTGACGTTTTTCTCAGAAAAAACCTTGATTTGCTCGTCCATACCTTACACAGATTAAACTAAAAGATTAGAAACTATTGCATCATAGGGCTTAAAATATTATAAAGTCTGTTGAAATAAACTGATATTAAGAAGTCGCAATAATATGCCAAAATATGTATAATTTTCATTGCAAAATGTAGTATTTCGGGATTATAGTGCCTTTCGTTCTTATGCGAAAGGTAATCTATATATATATTTAGTTCCGGTACTGAAAGGCCAAAGGCCTGTAATACAACACATTTATAAAATCAATATTTACACGCACATTTAATATACATGAAGAAGAGAAAATAATCAACTGTAGGTTACATTGTGTTCTGAGATATACTCTGTCCTAAACAACATGGCATAGCAAGCAAACATGGACAAGTTTTGAAGTATAGTATGGTTTTGGTTGTTTACAATGCTAAAAATTTATAAAGGTTTTGATTGGCACAATAATATTTTTTGATATACAACTTTGTCAGGGAATTATAAGCAGGGCAAATTAAAAGAAAATGATATTCATCTTCTATTTGGTTAAGATCACATAGTTTGCAAGTTCTATTTTCTTTGTTGACATTTTTAAATCTTCCACTTTCAATAAATAAATCATGTGAAGAACATCTCAATCTGCTTAAAGCTATCCTATACTTTTTTACGTTTAGACATGAAAGATCTATTTCTGCGTCAAAAGTACATTTAAACATCTTATAGTGCAAACATTTACTGGAAGGTGATAACTTTTCAAACCATTCTTGCAAATAGATATCTTTTAATCTTCGTGTTAGTTCTAAAATAAACTTACCCTCAGAATCAACATACTGATTGTTCCATGCAACACCAAACCCTTTCGAGAATAGAAATTTCTAACAGATTATGAATCAACTTTTGCATTTTAGGACTTAGACCGTGTGTATTAAAAATAGACCATAGCTTTTGTCTGTCAACTGAATCAAATGCTTTTTCGAAATCAACGAAAAGTGTATAGAGTTTACCACCTTTGGTGTTGAGGTATCTCTGTATAATACTTTGTAATATAAACATATTGTCAGTAGTCGTATATCCATGTCTAAATCCTGCCTGGGATTCATTTATTTTATTCAATGCCTCTCCCCAAGTTACTAATCGTCTGTTAATGATAGAAGTGAAAAGCTTACTCAAAATACTCTAAAGAATAATGCCTCTGTAATTATTTGGATTATCGATACTGTCGTGTTTATGTAGCGGGACAATAATACCGATTGTCAAACTAGTTGGAAAAATAAAAGCAATCAATGTATTGTAATAAAACTTGTATATTTCATCAGTTTGGGGTGTCAGCAAGTAGAAATGTGTAACTGTACCAAAATGATATGTCGCCATGTCACATTTGCATAATTTATCTTCAAACTGTTCGAAAAAGTGCCCAAAATGTTGAGCGTTTCCCATGTTCCAAACCTATCGTATTCGATCGAAAAATCCGGGAACATTTGATCAATTGAGAAAAAAACGGCACTGGGACACGCGATAAGTCGACAGTGTACATGGGATTGCAGGCACATGGGGTGGGTTAGTGAGTTAAACTTTTAATTCGCATCGGCAGTATTTCAGCCATATCTTGACTATATCAAGTTATAGATTAATAATAATTAAAGGTAAATTATAAAAACCTGTCAACAAAGGACAGTAAAACAACTTGTTTATCACAGATATAAATTTAAAAGTAATAATTAATTCTCAAACATTATAAAACACGGGCTATAGATCGCCAACAACTGAAGGTGCATCACCAAACCAGGGACTATGGTGACTTACAGTACATTTGCTTCTTGCATGGACCCTAGCTGGATTTAGACCATCCCTGCAGCTGTTAGCAATTTACAACGAGGAGAGTTCTATGAATATACAACTTCTTTAATATAATATGAGCGACGTTTCGGTGTAGCTACTAACACCGTTATCAAGCAACGGTGATAACGATGTTAGTAGCTACACCGAAACGTCGCTCATATTATATTAAAGAAGTTGTATATCCATAGAACTATCCTCGTTGTTCATCACACCAACTTCTAAATGCCACTCAAACAAGTTAGCAATTTAGACAAATCTAGCCATACATCAATAGAACACATATTCTACGATTATAAAGAGGAAGCTTTAAATTTACTTTGAATGTTTTGGGACTTTAGTACTCTCTCAGCCGGACAATAAGTTTACCACTTTAACCCACTTTGAGGATACAACCACTAACAATCTCAGCTGCTCAATGAAACTACAAATAATAGAATATTTATATATTTACAAACCATTTACAAAAAATTATCTAATAATTATATTTCTTTTAGAAAATCAATAATTAAAGGATAATTAACATTAAAAAGAAATGTTTTCCGTGAAGCAGAATGCGTTTTGGCGTACGTGTCCCATATGCAGTACGTATTTAGCAATGTATCCATAATGCGTTTATTGGTGTTTCTTAACTGACACAAACGTTCTCAAAACCGTAGCTTCTTCGCGTTTCAGAGAATCAAGCTCAACATGAATATTTGCTTATGGACAACAGTGCTTTGATTCGGTTGTATTTAGAGATCATGCAGTACCAATACACTTGGCATTAGTACAAAGGAAGCTTTCCTGAAATCAATCCCCATTTTTAATATTTCTAATAGGCTATATCTATTAATATCAATTTCTCAAAAACTAACAGATTTTTTAATATGTTAGTGTTTATGTAATTAAATATTAATGATAAAAGTTTAATGACTGTGCTGTGTTTTTTTCTTAAATATGGTGGAATTTCCGTTTTTTTGCTGAATGTACACAATAAATAAGAAAATTAAAAAAAGAATTATGATATGTTATAATATGTCCGATTAATACTTTCAATATTCAATCAAGTTATATCTATTTCGACTATCAAATGTTGCTGGAATCACATATCAAATTAAGGAGTCTTTTCTGGAATCGCTTAAAATTTTACCAAACTTGACTCATAACCTAGCTCATATAACAGAAAAAAATAAGGTTTGTCGGGAATGGTTTTCTTTAACTGGTGCATTTGATAGAAAAGCGCTACTCCCTCCCCCCACCTCCCACTCCCCACCCCTACACACTCTCCCCCTCTCCCCACCCCTCTGAACAAGGATGACACCAAGAACAACAACCAGAACCAACATCATGTATAAAAATGTCGAGGAAACTAAAGGCAACAATGAGAACAAGTAGTTAATACGCTTTGGCCTCTACACTCGTCCAGTGAACACAATCCTTCATATGTTATCAAACAGCATTACTGACCAGCCAGAAAATCATCACACATAACACACCATTTTAACGGAAATCCCCAAACCTAAGTTCGTGCTCCTAAGAATATAATATACTCCGTCAGTTCGTTTTCCCCTATGTTACAGAAAATAACATCCATAGATTCCAAACCTGTTGGTCTTTCATAAAATCCAATCATTGAACGTGTATTCAGGTATTTTCACACAAAGGGCGCCCACACACACACTCCAGACATATCTGAACACTCAAACACTGTACATATGCTATCAGACACCCATGTAAGACAGAAAAAGAATTAACAGT